AAGTAAAAATCCAGTTTTGGGGAAAATCCCCCAACATGGCAACCATGTCAAGGCACTACTGGTACGTCAAGTTTCGGGCTCGTTTTCACAGCGCGAACGGCATTGCCGTCGCTTCTCCTGGTATATAGGTTCCATGGATCCGCCAATGGATTTCTACATAACCTTCGATTAACGTATTATACCTGAAGTTAGACAGCCATATACTATATTCCGGCGTCCAAAAAGCAACCAGAAAGATATTAGCGCTATCTATGAGGTGATAACAGAACACAAACATGAATTTATAATCTGAAAAGTTAGAGTGTTTGGTTCAGCTACTGTCTCACAATATAGTTAGCATCTTCAATCCCTTTTTGAACTTTTAAAATTTCCAATTAACGCATTCCGCCTAAATATATCCAATTAAAGATTCCAAAAGGGGATTGAAGGTCCTAATGGTATCTATGAGACGGTAACATAAGCACACACTGTAACTCTTTCCAAAATGGTCATCTAAATTCATTTTTGTGTTCTGCAACGGACTCACAGATGCCGCTAGTATGTTTTAAATCCCTTTTTGGTCGTACGGTGATCAATCTTAAGAACCTGCTACACCTTCAATAAGTAGAGAGTTTTTAGAGCAACAAAAATAACGAATCGTTAAGACTTCCGTTACTTTTGACAGCGACAGCAAATAACAAATGCTGACAGTCATGTCATGTTGGTTATTTTTTTCAATTTTAACGTGGAGCTAGATCTGCTTAAACGTTTTCATAGAAAAGTTTCGTTAATATCTGTCTCCAAACCGAACAAGAAATGAATACCCTGCCACATCGCATATATAACAAAAATCGGGACAATTTATTTAGAACACTGTATTTATTTTCGTCTGTGATCTGAAACTCATATTTCTATTATATTTTAAACAATACGTTTTCTTGACTTGAAATTATTTTAAATAAGCCTATCCAGCTTCACAAATTTCGGCAACGGCAATGAATAAGGACAATGCAACCTTATAATTTCCATAAGTAAAGGATCTTTCTTATTTCGATAACGGATAACGGAGGATTGTCTCGCTACTGCGCAAAATCGAAACAAGAAAGATCATAGCGAAGCAGCAAAACAATAGTACTGAAAATTCTCTAATTTCACATTAGATGATGAATACTGACGTATCCCAGTAAATACTGATCGTGTGACATTCGTCTTACGCATGCTCACGGTCGCCCACTTGTAACTCGTATGTCTGCATTAATTTGAGCTTGTTGACTAGACTATGGAACGCCACACACCAGACCAAAGCCCCAGGAAAAACCAAAACCAAACAAAACAAAATCCGACTCACTGCCAATGTATGCCATCTCTCAGGAAAGCGTGTAAACCTCGGAACGAGAGACGAGCTCCCACCGAATTGGACCGTTGTTGCCGGCATTCGCCGCCAGAGTTCGCAGCCATCTCTGATGATTGTTGGCGCGCGCCGAACGCGCTACGAGAGTGCTCTGAAAACCAAAATCAAAACGCAACCAATGCATAACAAAAATAAATAAATAAACAAAAATAAATAAATAAACAAAAATAAAATGAAGCTCTTCTAACAGTTCAAAATCAACTAAATGCCCTAACTTTAAAGTCGAGAACAAGATATCACTTCAGGCGCTTTTGTCAGGTATTTGCATTCTCTGTGATTTGAGATTGCGTTCAAAAAGAAAATGGAGCTCTTCTACCCATTCAAAATCAACTAAACGCACTTTACTTTTAAAAAAATATAACTTCAGACGCTTTTGTCATGTTTTTGCGATCTCAGGGTCTCATTTTTAGTGTTTATGTTATTTTACTCTATGTGGTTCGAGATTGTGTATTTGACAGTAATATCAGGTATTTCGATATTATTGCAGACTTTGCAGAGTCGTAATCAAGGTTTTTACTGGTTTTCGATGGATCCTACAATTGAATATAGCATGAACATTCACCATTTTTAGCAACCACATTTTCAAAAAATAGTGGATGTGAATACACTTTTAAATGATGCATATTATTTGTAAACAGTAAATCAACACATTTAACGTAAGCCCGGAACCTGAACGAGATTTATGCATGCGGGTACTTACTTGAATGGGTCATGCCTAATCCGCTGTGCCTAAAATACCGTATTTAAAAATTTCCTAACAAAACCATTGACTCACTCCTGCTCATTTGTATGACTGAGTAAGTCCTTTCAATTCAGGCTAACTAGCTTAAAAATCTGTTTTGTCTATATGGAATCGAATGTGATTTCACACACAACTATTTTGTAAAATTAATTTGTTGTTGAAAAAGTGTATTTTGTTGTCTAAAGCCTAAATGCCAGGGAACTGCGGCTCCAATAAGGATCCCTAATAAACTTTGCTAATCCAATTTTTGAACTGCCTAAGGTTAGTAGAGATGGAAAAAGCCTCGTCTTATAGATTTTTCCATAATCTCGACACCCTAGGGCCAAAGGAGCGGTTAGGATGGGAGGCGGAAGTCAGGCAGGCACATCGAGCGACGTCATCATCTAAGGAGAAATGCCCGTTGGTATAGCGGTAGAAGCTGGATAGCTGAAGGCCCGCGGTACGAAATGATCCCGAGACTGTCAGAGAGGAGTTATCGATCAGTTGGACAGCCCTCCTCTGAACAGCATCGAGCATGGAGAATGTAGTCGGGACAGCACCAAGGCTAGGTATAAAGTGACGAGGTCATGTGGAGAAAAGTACTTCTTAGCTATAAACAAAAATAGCCCAGCTTTTTCCCAGCTGCAGCTGCTGCTATTGTTGGGATGAGTTCGTACCAGATCAAATTCTCTCCGACAAGCTGTAATGAACGGCTCTTTGGCAGAACTCGGCGATCCATCGAAACCGGATGAGCGTTAGGAAGCATTAAACTGTACAAGATTGTTTGTCCCCAAGAAATGATAACCTCCAGGTCACTCGTTATGCGACGGATATCTTGCGGCTAGAGAGAAAGTCGGCCACCTGACTGAACAGCTTCTCCGGGAAGTCATAGGATGGATAGTTTGCATAAGAGAGCAGCATGCCACATCTGATAGAACGCTTTCATGATGTCAAGAGCAACGATTGCCATTACTGGAGAATTGGTATATATACTTTTTCTCGCTGGCCGATTCATTGTTGGGTGTAAAACAAGATATTCGATTTTTCCAGGGTTTGCGCTTTGCCTTGGTTTCCCCTATATGTCTTAAATATGTTAAGTCAAATATTCAAGTGTGATTTTCCATAATAAGAAATAAAATATAATATTTATATTATTCTTTTGCTCAAGTTATATACCAGAATCCTATTTTCGTGTAAAACAACGGCCCAGAATTGTTTTTCTGGATTTTCCCGTTACTATTATGTATTAATAAACCGTGAATTTTATTCGAAATTTCAACCTTGGAAAACTACATTACACCCAAAAAGAACTTCAAAACTGGTTAATTTGTTAATGACACAGTTTTCATTGCCTCCTAAGAAATTTAAACTGCGTGAGGTTTTTGCAAAGACGATTCTGTTATCAATTTGACTTTAAGGAACAAGCCTGCTATAAACATCAGAAACTGAAATCGGGGTAGGCCTCTGCTTTCCTTGAGAAAAATAATTAGATAAGACTAGCCGAAAATAACAGGTATGCAGTGCAATAAGGACGCCTCAAATCAAAAAAGTCTCCCTTAATCCTATCTTGAAAAAGAAAAAAGAATTTCAGGAAAAAATAGGTTATATTTTTATATAGTCGAAATCACGAAAGATGACGATTACGTCATACCATAAATTGTAACGAAATAATTACCGGACGTACGTCGATGATAAGGTTACGATGTCAGGAACATGTGATCGAAGTTAGCTGATTTCAGTGATTATTTTTATTTATTCTATTTCATGATTTTAAATTATCATTATCCGTGCACAAATTTACATTTTAAGACTTCTATTTGCAATAAAATTACATATTTATTAAAAAAAACAGCATTTCCTCTGTTCACAATAATAGTACGTATTTTGAACCTATTTTTCATCTAATATTGTTGAGTCCCTAGAGTTCTTACCAAAATCATAATAATACATTGGTATCAGCTCCATTAAAACGACCAATTGATTCTGAGAACATGGTTTTATTTTATAAAAAAAAATACAAACACAAATAAGCATACCAAAGTGAAAATATTTTTGTACTATTTCATGTCATGCCATCCACTATTCATTTTAGCATAAGCTACAAAATTATATAAAACATATATCAAATAAAATAAACTGTACATTTCAATATGTTATTCCATTACTTATGGTCAAATTCAGATTAAAAATTAATCGGTACTGTCAGATTCAGTATCGCTATCTGAATCAAATGAGATTATCAGTGGTTCTATTTCACGAGTAATAGTTTTGTTGTACCACTCTAAAATTACATCATGGGTATGCTTCACACATTTTTTCCAAACCTCTGGTGTAATTTGTGACAGAGCTTCATTCCACATAGCTAAAACATTTTCATCACTATGACCACATCTTCCAATATGTCTATCATAATACTGCTTAGCATTGGCCCATATTAACTCGATGGCATTAAATTCACACTGGTATGGGGGGGTACGAAGAACTTCATGTCCATAACTTCTTATGATTTCATCTATTAAATACTTCTTTTCCTTACGATTTCTTTTCACTATATTCAATAACTCCACTTTAGTTAATGTTGGTTGGAACACAATTTCATTTTTAACCAGCCAGTCAATAATCTCTTTTTTTGGAGAACTTGTGTTTGGAGTCTTTTCCAATAAAATGCTATGATATGATGCATTATCCATAATTATCACTGATGGCTCTTCCAAGTTGCAGAGGAGTTTTTCTTTTAACCACTTAATGAATGTCTCGCCGTTCATATCACCATGGTAATCTGCAGATTTAGACTGTGAGGAAAATAACAGACTTGCTCCATCAACAAATCCTTTTTCGCTCCCTGCATGGACAACAATAAATCGCTTTCCTTGAAAGCCCAATGGTCTCCTTACACTTTTTATTGACTCATCTTGCCAAGACTTTTTTGGACTGCCTTTTGAAAATATCCATGTTTCATCCATGAAAACAATTTGATGCGAGGAAGTGTTCACATAGTCATTATAACTTCTCAAAAATTTGGTGCGAAGTAAAGCAATACTGGATTGCTCAACTAGAAATCTTCTATTACCATCTTTTTTATATTTAAAGCCTATGGTGAGCAGCACTCTTTGTAAAGAGCTATTGCTGATAGAAGCAAGCTCTTTCTCTTTAAGCGTTTTATTCAAATTTGCTATTGTGACATGTTTCTCTGAAACAAAACAAAAAATCAATAATTTGGAATGTACCATCTCACGCTCATTATCATTACTTTCACTACACATTTGATACACTGTATCTCGTATATTATGCCTGACTGCATCAGATAAATCTGTTGTCTTAGACTTTTTTCTGGGTCTCTTCTTTCCAGGTGATCTTAGGACATTATCATTAGATGATAAACGGCGCTGTATTCTGGTAATAGTGGACAAACTGATACTTAGTGCCTGAGCCACCCTCTGAAAAATAATATAGAATAAATTGTCAATCATATGACCATATTTCTAACTATTACAAACCTCTTGGACAGCTAACAATGGTAATAGAGGCCCTCCATCATCCTTTTCTTGTTGAAAATAATTCAGCAAGGATAGTACCAAGCCCTGTGATTGAGAGCTAAGAGTTTTGCCTTTCATAGCGAAAACTAGAATTAAAGTCTTAAATGATGCTCTTATGTCGGAAATTATTTAGTTTCTACTTTAATAATAATTTTTATGAGGAGTTTTTGATTTGAAAAAAACAGTTATACACACAACAGAATACACCTCAAGACAGGAACACCAACGACCAAAGTATTGTTCGAAAACAACCTAACCTGCAACGAACTGTCAACACGCTGACATGACATAACCTCACTTGTCATCTTTCAAATGTGATCGATCATGAAACATGCAAAAATCGTCTGTCTTTATCGGATACATGCAATTCAGCAATACTACTTGTTTAGACAATAAAATTTTGTTTGTCTCTGTCTAACACATCTGAACCTTCATTTAAAAATATTCACAAATGGCTGTCGTTTGTCTTTACTACAGAATAAAATGATGACGTAATCGTCATCTTTCGTGATTTCGACTATAGAGGATACCAAATAAAACCCGATGCACGTCATCGATGTGGAGCTGTGCGCTGTTGCCAGAATTTGCACATTTTCTTTTAAGCAAATAAATTTAATAAAATAAATTGTTTATATATACCTACCATTTACTATAATACCATTATATTAAAAATAAATAAACTTGTTGTAAAATTAAATTCATTTCTGAATAAAAACACCTGATTTGGTAGATATTCAAAAACACAAAATATTTAAAGAACATAAATTGTTTTCTCGTATTTTAATTAATTTGATTATTTATTTATGATATGGGAACTACAACAGTTTTTCAATTCACATCAAAGAGAAGAAAGAACTCGGGTGATGCGATGTTACACAATACCCGCAACTAGCGGCAAGGAGTACTCTTTATCGAGCCTGATATTAACCGCATGGTATGGTTCAGTTGTATATCAATTCCGGAGTTTGATTACATTATACAGAATATATTTTGATGTTTTAACTATTCTGAATCACTGGAATCAGAGTCATCGTTAACATGGATAATAAGGGGAAGAATTTCCTGTCTATCCATTACTTGTTCCCTTCTATACCATTTCATAATTATCTCCTCTGTATGTCTAATGAAGTTCTTCCACATATCAGGGGTAATAGTTTGGAGTGCCTCTTGCCACATTTTTAGGCAGTCATTTTCAGTGTGGCCATCTCTTCCAATATGCCGATTATAGTAATCTTTAATTAGCTCAATTGGGTTAAAAATACAGTGGTATGGAGGTAACCGTAAAACTTTATGTCCATATTGTTCTGCCAAGTTATCGACCACATACATTTTGGTTGGTTAATTCCAAAAAAAAAAAATAAATAGGAACAAAATGCATAAAGATTGGGTATTCTGCTCACTGTGCAACAATCGTTAGAAGTTCAGATTTGAATGCTTCATGTGGATACTGTATTTTTTGTTCAGTTAACCAATTCTGAATTTCATCCTTTCTCCATGAGCTATTGGGAGTTTTTACTAATAACATGCTATGGTATGATGGATTATCCATAACAATCACAGAGGGTTGGGTCAAGCTTATTAGTAATTGATTTTCAAACCAATATAAAAAGTTTTGCTGGTTCATTTCACCACGGTAATCATTAAGCTGGGTTTTCGATGAAAATATGAGCGACGCACCTTCAACAAATCCATTTTCATTGCCAGCGTGACCTATGATATACCTACAAATGCATTTCATTTTTATATAGAGCTTATTTTTCTATACATTTGGAAGCCCACCTTTTTCCATCAGCTTTTGTACTTCTAACAGTTCGCTTGGATACTTTACACCACTTCACAGTAACAGTTGTTCTGAAAAGAACAATTTTTAATTGGCAAGGCAACGATTCAAAGCTCAATTAGCGCAAAACTCACAAACTAAACAATAAAGAACTAATAGTACGACAAAAGGACAATGGCAACTGATGTCAACAAATGAGAAGTGGCAACCTCACATTTCTCTGCACGGCACTACCAACCGAATCGAGACGGGGAAATTTAAACTTCAAGTAGAAATGTCACATTGAATGTAGTCAACTGTTGGTAACCATGATTTTTATGAATGACATCACCTATGACGTGCATCGGATTTTATTTGGTATCCACTATATATAAGATTCGCGACTTATATATATATATATATATATATATATATACAGGGTTTGTCCGGAAAGTAATAGGACTCATTTTCTTCCGCCATGACTGTACTTCGGAGCGTGGATTCGGTAGAGGGCGTTCCATGGCTAACGAATGAGCGACTGGTCAGTTGTCTCCGAGCACTTGGAGAGTCAGGACAGGCATTTTCGCGCGACGTGTTTCTGTGAGTCGTGCAAGCCGAAAATGCAGCATTCATTAGAGCAGAGGTACGCGATTAAATTCTGTGTGAAACTCGGTGAATCTGCGACAGAGACGTTTGATATGATCAAGCAGGCTTACCCAGGTGTTGCTTTAGCAAGAACTGGTGGGTTTCGGTGGCACCAGGCCTTTTTGGAGCGCCGGGAAGAGGTCGCTGATGAAGACCGTGCTCGAAGACCTTCGACTTCGACAAACACCGATAATGTGACTCGTGTGCGCAAAGTTTTGAACTCAGACCGTCGACTAAGTATTAGTTTAATTGCCCAGATGTTAAATTTACCAAAATCTGTGGTTCATGACATTGTGACACAGCATTTGAACATGCGCAAGGTGTGCGCGAAGATGGTTCCAAAAGTGCTTACTGACGACCAGAAATTGCGGCGAGTGGAAGTGTGCCAAGAAAATTTGAACATGTGTGAAAGTGACCCCCAATTTTTGAATAAAGTAATCACAGGTGACGAGTCGTGGATCTTTAAGTATGATCCCGAGACAAAAAAAAGGGAAGAATGAGCAAATCCAAAGTGAAGATGATGCTCATTGTCTTTTTTGACATCAAAGGCATCGTCCACCATGAATTTGTTCCTCCTGGACAAACCGTCAACGCCAAGTTTTACGTGGAAGTGCTCAGGAGACTCAACCGAAGGGTCAGTCGGGTCCGACAAGACATCGCAGCCGACTGGAAGTTGCACCACGACAACGCCCCGGCTCACACCGCCTTTCTTGTGAACAGCTACCTGACCAAGGCCGGCATCCCAACGTTTCCGCAGACGCCCTACAGTCCAGATGTGGCCCCCCGGACTTTTTTGGTTTCCTCGCCTGAAAAGGCCGATGAAAGGCAAGCACTTTGAGACGAGAGAGGGGATCCAAGCAGCATGCACCGCGGCTCTCAAGGCTATTCCGGAAAATGCCTTCCGTGACGCCTTCAATGCTTGGAAATTGCGCTGGCAGCGCTGCATCGACGCAGACGGCAGACAGATTTTGAAAGTTTTTAAAGAATTGTAACGATTGGCTCAATAATTTTTTTTAAATCGACTCAGTCCTATTACTTTCCGGACAAATCCTGTATATAAAGAGAAAAATCAAGGATAAGAAGAATACAGATTGTTATTGAAAATATGATCAAAGGTGGGCAGAATTTTTAAAAAATATGACCAAAACGGGGTCAAAATTTAAAAAATATATACTTAGTCTCATCTATTCCAATAAGTAATTTCATTTCTTTATTAGTGCTTACAACACTGGCCTGCTTACACCGATCAAAGTAGAATTTAAAATGCAAAAGTATAAATTCACAAAAAAAATAACATTTGGTGGAAAGAAAAACATTAACAGAAAACTATAAAAACAATACTAACAGAAAAATGTTGAATGATATGAATTTAAAATTTATAATAAAAACAAAACTATAGAACAAGCACATCCGAACAAATTAACAGAGCAAAAGTAAACAAGCACTCTACAACATCATTATAAGAGATCCCCAAAGCTATTACTTAAAAACACTTCAATGTGTTGAAATGCTTTCTTGATAAGGTATGCTTTAATTCTATACTTAAGTGAGCCGGTGCCAGACACTTTGAGTGCCTCAGGAAGAACATTATAAAAGTAGATTCCATAGTAGCTAGAACCATTTCTAGTTCTTTTTAGACGATGTTAGGAATATCTAATGTATGCATGTTACGTGTGTTTTAACTACGTACATCACTGTGCGTTTTGTATAGATCCAAATTGTTGTGTGCATAACATAAGCAGATAAGTATATATGAGGATCCCTAGGTTGATGAATGCCTCCCTACCTGGCTGCATATAACTAAGACCTGCGATGGCTCTGCTGAAGCGCCTTGTAGTGCAAATACTTTAGGCATATGCACAGATTGACCACAGTTCAAGAGTGCATATGACATTCTTCAGTAGAAGTATCCATAATATGTATGTGATTAGCAACGTATCACCAGAAACACAGCTTTTCAGATTCCTAATTAAATAAATGATCTTGGATAGTTCCCTAAGAATACTGTTTACATGTTCCTCCCAAGTCATGTGTGTATCAATGCTGACACCCAAAAATTTTACTGTGTCTGTGGTATTGACGTTATAGTGACATAAACTTATTAAAATTGTCTTTCAAGTGACAATTTATTTGCTAAAAACCAATGTTCCAAATTTATTATAATATATTCAATATTCGCAGAGAAAAATAGATCAATCTATTTGTTACTAGAGAGCATTGCAGTGTCATTGGTAAACAGTATAAGGTTTTTTTTGTATTACAACTAGGAAGGTTATTCATGTATATTAAGAATAAAAGTGGCCCAGCACAAAACCTTGTGGAACGCCACGTCATTGTACTGGGGGTAGTAATGTTGAAGGTTACAAGCTGCTATCTGTTGCTTAAATAACGCTTATTGTTAAAGGGCGTCCAGTTGATTAAATAATTTATATACCAAATATAGAAGTAGAAGGCAATAGATTTAATTAAAGCCAAACTATTAATAAGATTAAACTTTGATCAATATTGTTTAAATTTTAAAAAATTTTCGAAGGCACCAAGGGTCACCATATTTGTGGAATCGGTGAACTTAAACGCCAAATAAGTTCATTTTAGTTGCCTCACTTTGATATCATATGTAACACATCGGTAATCTCATAGGTAACTTGCAAAAGAAGTATTTTATTGTTATAACTTTAATTTTAAAATCTCGACTTTTCTAAAATTTGCCCACATATCTTGGTCATCCCATCTGGTAACCCTATACAGGATCATTGTTTATAAATCCGCAGTGTGGCGTGAAAAAGTGTGAATATTACTTTGCCAGCGATACGGTTCCATGGATTTTATCTAGTGGTTACATGCAAAATGCTGCCGACAACGCGAAAAATAATACATTTATGCGCATTGTTTGGATCTATTTATATTATTCACGTGCATTATGATGGGATTATACGATAGCAACACGCTTATGGGATTATATACGTCTACTATTTGCTCACTGTGGAATCTATCGAAGTTGCTGCTGTCGTTTCATCCAATATAATGAAATCATAAGTATTCCTATTGACATGACCGTGTTCATGTAGGTATTAATTTTTTATACAACTCAATGAGATTAGATGATTAGAAAACAGTGACAATATTTTTAGAAGAATAACGCTACAAGCATAAGCCGTGAAATGCTATATTGATGATGAGGTTGTATTTACGAAGGCAACCAGTTAATTCGACTCAAAATAATTAACGGAAGTCTCTAAATCTGAAAAGCAATATGTAGGCTCCTGGTAGTTTTGTAAGCAATATCATGATTTCTCAAACACATCTTGCAGGCGACTTCGACCGTGTAGCGCACAAAATCTTTCCAGAAGGTTCACAAGTCTGGTTAATGTAACTCAGCACGACGGCCCTTAAGCCTGTTTATGTTATACATTCCATTCCTCCTCTGGGCAGTTGTTCCCAGGATAAACTTTCATATACACGCAGGCGGGTATAAAGGTCGCATCTCAGACCTAGTAGTGCGCATCGTGAAGCTTATTACAGTGTCGCTGTGCTATTGGGTATAGTGATTTGGTTACCTGAAAGGTGATCAATCACAGTATTTCCTTTATTCTGCTGTACTGCACGGATTTATAACCACAGTACATTTATATTCATGATTATGAATGTCGTAAGCCATATTTATAAAGAAGCTTTGATCATATATCCATACTTCTATTAATGGCTTACGGGCTCAGTAATTGTCGATAAGGATGTGGAAATTAACTTGCTCATACACAGGCGTGACGCCTCCAGTCTCTAAGGGTTGTTATAGGTCTATCGGAGTCCGATTGTTAAGTTCAGGTAGTTACAAGGTCGGTCGCAAAGTATATTTTATTATTATTTATTTATGCTGTACTGCACGGATTTATAACCATAGTACATTTATATTCATGATTATGAATGTCGTAAGTCATATTTATAAAGAAGCTTTGATCATATATCCAAACTTCTATTAATGGCTTACGGGCTCAGTAATTGTCGATAAGGATGTGGAAATTAACTTGCTCATACACAGGCGTGACGCCTCCAGTCTCTAAGGGTTGTTATAGGTCTATCGGAGTCCGATTGTTAAGTTCAGGTAGTTACAAGGTCAGTCGCAAAGTATACAGGACAAAGAAAAAATGGACAAACATTTCTTGTTTCGGAAAATCGAATTTGTTTTATTCAAAACAGTCTCCTTCAGAGTAGATACAATGATTTGCACGGACCAAAAGATTTACGAATGATAATTTTAGCTCATTGGACTATTGGATGGCCTCGCCGTCAGCATACCGCTGCCCCTTCATGGCCAAATTACCGAACAGAAAATAGTCACATGGTGGCATATCAGGATAATATGGGGAGTGGTTGATGGTTAAAATGCCATTTTTTTGTCAAAAAATCGGACACAAACGTCGATCGATGAGATGGTGCATTATCGTGCAACAAGCGCCAGCTTCTTCACGATATTCTGGCCGAACACGATGAAAATGCGACAGTAAATGCCTCATAACACCAAGATAAAACACAGCGTTAACCGTTTGGCTCGGTAAAACAAATTATTTGTGAATAATTCCCTTGCGTAGAAACAAATGAACATTTGGACTTCTCCAACCGGCATTTTTTCGGATTTGGCTCGCTTGGATGCTTCCATTCGGCACTTTGAAGCTTGGTTTCGCGACCGTATTGAAAATACCACGTTTCCTCACCAGTCACAATGTTGTATAGGAAGTTTTTATCTTTTTTGGCTTCTTTAATGATGTCTCTCGATTGTTGAATTCGAAGCACACCTTTGTCATGCCCAAATTCTTGGTCGAAATGCGATCGATTAAATTTGTAGAGATATTAGTTCCATTTCTATGTATCTCAACGAAGATTTTTCATCATTTTTGATAAATTCACGCACTTTTTCGACGGTTTCTGGCGTAGTCACAAATGTTGGCTGGCCAACATGTTAGATAGCGCTACGAGGGATGTCTTTTAAGTTTTGCATATGGAAAAAAAGAACACAGTAGGTAGTTTTAAATAACTTTATTGTTTTTCGAAGTATTCTCCACGAACCAATTTTCGAAGCACTTATTCCACTCGTTTGCTGGCAGATCCAAAACGGCATTTTTGAATGCGTCAACTGCTTCTTCTGGTGACTGGAACCTTTGACCACACAGTCTGTTTTTAATTTTCGGGAAAGTAAAGAAATAGGCCTTAGATCGGGACTATATGGAGGATGGTCCAATAATTCCACGTTTTCTTCCGTTAAATACTGCCTTGTTTCTTGGGCTGTGTGCGAGCTTGCATTGTCTTGGTGGAGGATGTTTCTTCTTTCGGGGTTGTTTTTTCGAAGATCGGTGATGACTTTTGGCAAACAAATGGTTGTATACCAATCCATAGTAACAGTTCTTTGCTCATTAAGAGGAATTGTTGCAATATGACCCGCTTTTGACACAAATGTCGCGAGCATCTTTTTCGAAACACTTCGAGAACGGATGACTTTTTTCTTCACCTTGGAACACCCAAACAGCCGACTGTCGTTTATTTTCTGGTTCATAACAGTAAATCCACGATTCATCACCACTAACAATGCTGTACACATTTTTTGAGTTTCCGGAATTGAAACGGTCAAGCGTTTTTTGACACCAATTAACCCTAGCTGCTTTCTGCTCTTCAGTCAACAGGTGGGGTATCCAAACTAATTTTCTTACTCCTAATTCTTCATGTAAATTTTTTTGAATTGAGGTCTTTGAGATCTTCAAGGACGCCTCGCGATATGTCACATGTCTATCTTCAATGATGAGTTTGCGCACAGCATCGACGTTTTCCTGGGTGACTGCCGTTTTTGGTGCACCCACCCTGGGATCGTCGCTAAGACTCACTTATCCACGTGTGAGTTCTCCATACCAACATTTTGTCGCGTGATGTGGCGCTTCGTTGCCGAAAACAGACAGTAACTCAGCAAGGCATTCTTGTTGCGATAATTGTCTCTGAAAGTTCTAATAAATTATGGCACGAAAATGTTCTCGGTTGAGTTCCATTTTTCGAATGACTTGGTGACACTTAAAAATTCACTGTAGTGAGAACACTGCACGTAATGTTGTGAAACTTTGAATTTAAGTTTACTAAAGAGTGAGGTTAAGATTCAGTACTGACGTTCGATCCGCGCGGCCTACTATGTTTCTATATGCAAAACTTAAAAGACATCCCTCGTACTTGTATCGGATATCTTTCAAAAGTCCTGTTTACTTTGCGACAGACTATGTTAATTACTGCTCGGTTTCCTCAATCAGGGGAAATGTCGGAGCGCTTGGGATGTTGACATGATGGCTTTGGGTCGATGTGGTATCCTAGGTGTGAATGACCGCCTAACTTTCTTCTCTTGGCAATCGTTGGAGTCTGAATGTATCTCATGGCAGGATTTGTATAAGGATTGTTACTTTGATAAGAGGTAATGTCGGAACCTTTAGATATTGACTCGGCAACGTGATATCCTAGATCCTGGAATGCTTTTCGTAACGAGCGTTAAACTCAGCATATCTGTCCTTACACCTGGGTATCAACATAGGCCACTGCATGCTTAAATCTTATGTTGAACACTTAGGCTGCTGTATGTTTAAATTATAAGTGAAGAACTGTGTGTCCTAGAGGGACTGTGTGCCCCAAGGGGCTGTGTGCACCCGCTCTTACGGTCTGCGGACAAGTATATGGGTATTTCTCAGCAAATTTCGAAATTCATGTCCTGAGCCATTGATGCTAAGTTGCATGGATTTATCATCAATTTAACATTTTTATTATATCAATAAGTATCTACACTAATATCTTGAATGCAATAATTTAGATAATATATTGACACAAAAAGATACGATTAATTTATTATTCTAAAAGTCGTTTCCTCATCTCGTCCCTGGTTCTGAAATTACTAATAAAAAAAAAGTATATACAATCAAATCTGTTCATATTCTTATAAATTGAATATTACTAAAATATTTGGTAATAAGTATGGATTGTATAGTCAAGCTTTCATTACTAAAAAATAAGTATGTATATAAAAAAATCTATTTAAACTATGTCGTTTGAAATGAAATCATTCCCTCATACGAACGCAGCTGTTATGTTTTTAAAACTTGGAAATACTGCTAATAATAACAACATGGCGGAATTTCTTAATAGAGTTACTGCAAATAAGTTTTGGATTTCAATAATTAGAACATTACATTTCTCTGTGTCATTACATCACTGTTTATATTAAAAGGTAAGTCATTATAGCTCTTTGCTAGCTAAATATGCAAATATTTTTTATGTTTTTTTTTTTAATTTAAATTCTGGGTTGGTTGACTTTTATCCTTGTTTAAATAATTATTTGACCTGGATTTATTTTATATTTTATAGCTCTTTGCTAGCTAAATATGCAAATATTTTTTATGTTTTTTTTTAATTTAAATTCTGGGTTGGTTGACTTTTATCCTTGTTTAAGTGTCTACAAAGTAACTGGCATGACATTATAATTATATAGATTGTCAAATAATTATTTGACCTGGATTTATTTTGTTTTATTTATTTTACTAGTTTATTATTAAAATGTTACATTACACATTATTTAAGATTGGTGCATACGGATATTAAGTTATCTAGGTAACACATAAGGAAAACTATACATGTAATATATAAAACTACTGTATATATCGCCATCACTTTGTAATATATTGTATTGTTCGAATGTTTTAATGATTTTTTCTGACTTTGGGGAGTAAAATGCATTCACAAAATGCTAAATCAATTTGAGGTGATGTACTGTTGGTTACGGTGTCGTTTAAGCAAATCCGTCATTCCCTCACCGTCATTCCGTCACTATATTAGAAAGTGAGGCAATGAAAAGCACATGAAGGAATTAATGTTGCATATATAAAATTGTGGTTTGGGTGTTATTTTTTAACTCCAGGTTGTATAGCATGTGTTTTCAATTTTAACAGATATCCGTATATCAAGAATGGGGAAAATGAATAAGTTAAGTGAAGAAGAACATAAATTAAAAAAGGGGTACGACAGAAAGAAGCGAGAATAAATGAAAATTAATGCTGAGTCTTTAGAAGCTTTGCGTGAAAAAGAGAGATTAAAGTATTTAAAGAAGTTAAGCCAATAAGTCCTATGAGTGCAAGAGATACTAGCCAAAAACGAAAACAATGGAGAAAGAATAGTAAAGTTTATAGGGAAAAGCGAGTTACATTAAAAACAAATTTACAGAGAATAGTTGAAGACACACCCCCACCAAGTCCTGCACCATCTTTACAGCACAGAGCAGAGAATTTGTCTGCTCTCAATAGACGTAGAATGCGCAAGCGGCGAACTATTCTGTACGCGAAGGTTAAAAGTTTGGAAAATAAAGTAAGGAACGCAGTCAAGCTTAGAGAAAAATATAAGAAGAGGTGTTTGGGATTGAAAACTAAAACTACTGACCTAAACTCTCCAGCAACTAAAGTGTCTTCGCTTTTAAAGAATATACAATTTCCTGACGTTGTAAGAAAAAGACTCGTTTTCGGAGAAGCCCTGCTAACGGACCTCAATAATATCTATGAAGATCTTGGAAGTAAACATGGAGAAAAGACAAAATATTAGATGTTGAAGCTGCAATAAGTACATAGATCGAACAATTTTTTCAAAATGCTGAAACTTAGGGGTGATGTTGTTCATTTCTTAGAGAATGATGAAAATACGAGGATGTGCCCTTTAAAGTAGAAAACAAATCTCAATACATCTATTAATAAATTAACTTATGTTTTTTATTGAAATTCAGCATCAAATTGTTGTAAAAATGATTCCCCCATCCTATCAGTCATTCCCTTATTTCATAGTTTTTTAAAAGTCATTTTTCTACATGTTATACACAAGCATATGGAGGACCTTCATTTTCAATGAACCTCACTAAAGTAAAACTTTATATTTCTGCAAAAAAGCATATATTTTCATTATTTTTTTTAAGAAATGCAAAATGAAATTTCTAAATTTGTTGAGAAATACCCATATACAGATGCAACCTACCGCTGATGTGAACGTTTGTTCGGTAAGCTCAAAGTCATACGTTTTTTAGTTGTGTGTCTCCGTCTCGAAATCTTTGTCGTTACATATGAATGCCCTTCAATCATATTTATCAGAGTGACAACTTACTTTACATTGGCTTGCAATTCGAGTTGTCTTGTTATCAATCTTCAATATAAAATTGTACAATGCCTCGAAATACGATCAATGGAAATGGCCGACAGCTCGTGCTAAATTTGTTAGAGTATTTCCAGGAAGAGAAGGAAGCCAGCAGTCCCCTGTTACCCACTTCATGCATACTGGAGAGAGTAGTAGATGCGCTGAAGATTAGTATGCGCCGTGTTCCACCTATGGTACGATCTATTTACTTATTTCATATGGAGTTGATATCGTAACCGCCAGGAACGGTGACTACAACTATAGAGTTGTGCATGTTATGAGTCGGTTAAATATGGGAGGTACTCAAATCATATTCCTAAAAATAGATGTTGGCCCTGATAATCCGATCATATCGCTTGCCAAATGAGGATAAGTCGTTGTCATTCCGTCACTAAGTAATATTATCCTGGCATTGTTGCCATATCGAATTGTTTACGTACTGCCCTTATAAAAAATAAAATAAAATAGTACAGGGTACTTCGAAACCTTATATGACGGGTTTGTTGTTTTCACGTTTATCGTTCAATTATTATCATCGACTCGTATCTTATAGTTTCATAAAATCAGTATAATTTTAAATAACGTACTTTCATTAATTTTATATCATGTTCCAGACCGAAGAATGAGAATAATTCATTAACAATCGGTTATATATTTCTTTGTTAAATTGGAGAGCACTCATTTTTCAGCCCCTCTCCTATGAATTCTGGGACCACCAATATGCTCCTCACCCTTGCATTTTTTTTATGGATGTCCATGCATGGAGAGTCTACTTATTCCTTTCAACCCTATCACTTGCCGCCTTTTCTCGATTAAATCCCAAATACACCTCGAATATTTAAGCTAACATTAAGGTGAAAGTTACGCTAAGGCCAGCTTAGCTAGCAACGCATAAAAGCGACCTCTACATCGTCCGAAGTACCCTCGACGTCATTAAAAACCCTCACCTCATTAAAAATGTTTACTCGACAACGCAGCAGGCCTCTTTACACTTCACAATTTTGTTTTAATCGTTTACTGTGGTGGCGGACGCCTATTTTGCATAATTGAATCTCAGATGTTTTAGCGACGGGAAATGTTTTTGGCTTCGGGAACATCGTATAATGTAGAAGGTGGAAAATGAACATATAAGGTGTAATTTTGAAGATATTTTCAAGCTCTTCAACTTTCATTTTGAGTAG